AGATCTGTTCCTCAGGGGTCACATGGGCTTGGCTCCTTTCTTTTACCAGTTTCGCCTAGTTCTACCAGTCTGGTACTTTTAATTACTGTGTGTCATGTAGATAAATCTTGGGCAAAGACCAGTTGTTCTCAGATAAACCTTACCTAGACACATATTTCTTGATCTGTTAGGTATAATTTGTCAGTAGGTTGTAGGAGTAATATGGTTCCCTCTGGTTCTCAAATATAGCTAGATATTGTTTATCTCTCGCATTGTCTCACCCCTCCATCATGGTTTTCCCACTTAAGGTGCCCCCATTTCCCCCCTTTCTCCCTTACTAATACCCTTCTCCTATGGTCCTACCTCTCTTGAGCTCCTTCTTTCCCTTTATCCCCTAGGTTCCTTGTATACCCTCCCCCCCCTTAAATTAACCCAATTTTTATCCATATCTCCCTTATTAAGGCCTGTTTCCTACTGTTCTTCTCTTTCAGGTTCTTTCTTTTCCTTTACCTCCCTGTTTCCTTTCCCTTATCCTGGTTCCTGTAGTTACGTCTGGTTACATACTCATTTATCAGTTCTGATGTCCGTATAGTTCCAGGTCGCCTGGAACACTCAGTATGTAGACCAGACTGGCCTTGAACTCACAGAGATCCACCTGCCTCTGCCTCCTGAGTGCTGGGATTAAAGGCATGTGCCACCATGCCCAGCTCTCTTTTTTTTTGGAAGCGGGGGGCAAAACGACAGGGTCTCTTGTAGCACAGTCTGACATCCTGCTATGTAGCCAAAGATGATCTTGAACCCTTGAGCTTCTTTCCTTCACCATCTGAGGACTGGACCACAGATGTGCTCCACCATGCCCAATTTATGCAGGACTAGGGACTGAACCCAGGGCTTTGTATATGTGAGGCAAGTATTCTACCAACTGTGATATATCCCCAGCCTCCACTGGTTTAGATATCACATATACATAAGAACATATTTTCCATTCTGTGTTTGGCTTACTTCAGTAAGCATAATGTTCTCTAATTCTATCCATAATGTCATAAATGACAAAATTTCCATCCATTTTAAGGGTGCATAGTGTTCCACTGTGTATATGTACAACACATTTTGTCATTTATCTACTGATGAACATCTCGGTTGATGCCATAACTTGGCTGTTCATGAACATAGCTGCACAAACACTGGAGTACAAACATTACTTTGACAAACTGATTTCGAATCTCATGACTAAATATCCAGGAGTAGGCCTGGATAACCAGGTAATTCTATTCTAGTTTTGTGGGGTTTTTTTTTCTCTGTTGCTGAAGTTTTTTGAGACAGGGTCTCACTGTGTAGCCCTGGCTGTCCTGGAACTCACTATGTAGACTTGGCTGGCCTGAAACTCAGAGATCTGCCTCCCTCTGCTGCCCGAGTGCTGAAATTTAAGCATAAATTCTTAAACATCAGTAAAACAAGGACCATAATGAAAGAAGGTGTCCCGTGAGACACAAAGCTCAATAATACTCACAACAACACGCGGTGTTACCAGGAGATAGACAGTGTGACGAACTATCTTATTATCTCGAACGTTCCATAATCTCTCCACTTCTCGAACTACTTTATCACTCCATTGATATAATCCAAGACTGTAATTACAGAATAAAAAATTATTTTTGCTCACTACAACTTTAAATGCAAAAGTATTTATGAATATTAATATAAAATTGAATATCTGAAAGCATATCATATCCATGTAAAGTGCTTAGAAGGATTTTCTTTGTTTTTTGAGATAGAGACTCACTATGTAGCTCTAACTGGCCTGGCACTCACTATGTAGACCAGGCTATACTCAAACTCAGAGATGTGCCTGCCTCTGCCTCCAGAGTCCTGGGATCACAACCTACACTACCACGCCTGGCTTTATAAGGATTTTCTAACAGCTTCTTTCAACAGCATTACAATATCATTTTGTAGATAAAGAGGCGGAGGCTTAGGAAAATGAAATAAAATAACTTGCTTAAATTCACAAAGTAATATGGGCTAGGATGGCAATGGGTTAAATGCATCGTTTTTTTTTTTTCTCCTTCAAGGTGCTGGAGATCCTACACAGAACCCTGTAGATCCTAGGCAAACACTCTGCCACTGAGCTATACCCTCAACCCTCAATCACTCCCTTCTGACAAACTTATTACAAAAAAAAAAGCAAAAACAAAGCAAAGAGACACACCCCAAGCACATAAGAAAACTAAATACAAAATGCCTTATTTAATAACTGCATTGAAACTGGTTAGCCATCAAGGAAAAAAACTTAAAATTCTTACTTCATACCATCTACAAAATTAAATCCAGAAAGATATCAGGAAAAATAGCAAAATAAAGATCTCTGGAAATTCTTTCATGGAGTCAATTAGTTTGGCCAGTATTCAACTATGCACTACAAGAAACACTGCTTAGATTCAAGGACATAAACTGGTGGAGAGTTAAATAATTTGAAAGACATTCTATGTAAGCAGTTCACTGAAGAGGGCTGTAGTGGCTATAGAAAGTTTAGAAGAAAATTGTTAGAGACTAAGAATACAATGGTGATAAAAGGGTTAACTACCATAAATATAAAACAATTCTAAGCATAGGAGCACCTTACAAAAGAACCCCAAAATATCCAAATCAAAACTAAAATTCTAGACTAGGGACGTAGCTCCTCAAGTCTGTACAGTGCTTAATCCAGGTTTGATCCCCAGCACAGCATAAACTGGGTGTGGTGGGGATCCTTGGCTACACATCAGGTTTAAGTCAGGCTGAGATACATCAGACCCTATATCTGGGGGGTGGGGGAGAAGGGAAGCAAAGTTCTTTTTATATTTATTATACATCTGTTCATCTCCTCATGCCTTAGAGAGTTGTTGTTATTGTTTTTTTTTTCTTTTCTTTTGAGAGAGAGGGTCTCACTTTGTAAACTTGGCTGGCCTGGAACGTGCTATGTAAACCAGGTTGGTCTTAATCTCACAGAGATCCATCCCTCTGTGTCTACCTCCCAAATGCTGGGATTAAAGGCAGGTACCACAATACCTGGCTTGAGGGTATTATTTTTTAAAGGAACAGTTTATTTTGGCCTACAATTTAAAAAGGGGTATAGTCCATTACTGTGGGGAAATCATGGCAGCAGGTGTGTGAGGCAACTGGTCACAATGCATTCATTCTTTTTATTGTTTTCTTTGGGAAGGCAATGTTTAAATACAGTGAACAAAACCAGCAAGAACATAAAAAGTTTTTTGCTTGGGAAGGTTTCTTGAGCTCCTTCCTAATCTGTAACTACTGTAGAGGATTTGGCAGATTGCACGTATTCTGTACGGGGCTACACCAATCAATCAATATTGTGCTTTTTTTTTTTTTTAGTACTATTTAGTTTTCAGTTTTATGAGCACATTGCAATTTGTTTGTTTTTCTACTTGATATATTTTTGAGTGGTTTGCATTATTTGGCTATTAAAAATAAAATGGTCACAAATATTTCCATATGCATTTTTTATGGACACAAGCCTTACTTTAGACATTTATTTATTTATTTATTTATTTATTTAATTTATTTTTGGTCTTTTGGAGACAGGGTCTCCCTGTAGCCCCAGCTGTCCTAGAACTCACTACGTAGACCAGGCTGGCCTTGAACGCACAGATCTGCCTGCCTCTGCCTCCCGAGTGCTGGGATTAAAGGCATACGCCACCACACCCGGCAAGATATCTTAATATGTCTGTGCAGAAGGGGGCACTCATACAAACAAACAAAAAAAAGGGCAAATACCTAGAGTTAAAAGGTGGGAGACCATCTGCAAACCTGGCAGTCAGAGGATTTCCATCTTCATCATGATAGTAAAGTGGGGGTAAATGCCCCCGTTACAAGGTAAGTCCTTTTGGGGGCAGTTTTATCTTTTTTGAGACAGGGTCTCCCAGTAGCCCCAGCTGGCCTGGAACTCACTATGTAGACCAGGCTGGCCTTGAACTCACAGAGATCCACCTGCCTCTGCCTCCGGAGTGCTGGGATTAAAGGCGTGTGCCACCATGCCTGGCAAGATATCTTAACATGTCTGTGCAAAAAGGGGCACTCATATCAGCATCAGGCACTGCTTCTCCAGAAACTTCTCACACACGTTACCTGGACAGCAATTAAGAATGTTGTATGATAATTTTAAATTTTAACTGAATGACGTAAACTTTTTTTTTTTTTTTTTGAGACAGGGTCTCACTATGTAACCCTGGATGGCCTAAAACTTGCTATATACACCAGGCTAGCTGAAATCTCACAGAGTTCCACCTACCTCTGCCTTCTGAGTGCTGGGGTTAAAGACACAAACTGCCATGCTTGGTGAGACATAAACATTTTTATTCATTTATTTTGTGTGTATGAGTGTTTTACCTGCATGTATGTAAGTGCATGTAATGCCTGCGGAGGCCAGAAGAGGGCATTGGAGCCTCTGGAACTGGAGTTATAGATTGTTGTTAGCTGCTAAGTAGATGCTGGGAACTAAACCTGGATGCTTTGCAAGAGTAGCTAGTGCTCTTACCTGTTGAACCATCTCTCCAGCCCCCAAACATTTTTCCTAAAACGTTTTCTAAGATACAATACGTATTTTAAAATGCTTTCAGGATAAAACGTATACACATCAAAACTATGATACTTCCAAGTATACATATTATAGAGTTTATATTATATATATTATATATCATATTATT